CTACCGTGTTGAACAGGACAACTTAAACATGATAGCTATAAGTATAAAGCTGTAACCAATACAGTACATGCTGCATCAATGACCGTAGCTGTATGATGTACAGTGTACAGTGTTGAACAGAAAAATTTAAACAGAACAACTATAAAACAGCACCCTTATTGGTACAACGGTACAGGTAGCTGTCCAATGGCAGTACAGTGTTTAAGTAAATCCAGGTGGTAATGCTGCCTCAGTGTCCAATATTCTTTTTCTTTTTAGACCATTTATAATTGTTACCAAACTGTGAATAAACATAAATATCTACATTGAAAAGGGAATGGCTGCAAAAATTTCAATATCAGTCCCTCACACACCACTGTTCCTCATGTTGCTTGTGGCTAAATAATGATCTACTGAACTATTCATATATGGTCTAAGGACATGTTCTATACTGTTCATGTGATCCACTATTTTTTGTCCTAAAATCATGTGGTATGTTTGTCTACCGGTTAAAATATACGACAGTGCTCTAAATAAACAATTGCCATCCCCAGTAATCCGACAGAGTTTCGTTGGATTAACTAGTGGTTTTGATGTTGTTTCATTGCGTCTAAATATAAGTGGGACATTCATCAAAGAGCATAAGGACAGCTGAAATTCTCCTGATAGAGGATAAAAATGAAGCGATTTATCGATACCCTGCTGAGACTCGTGCGTTCCAGCTGATACTAGGCTACAGTGCAAGCGCAGTCATGAAATATACAACGGCAACGTGACTTTAATACCAAGATTTTGTGTCGTGTTGCTTCAAGTAAGACAAATATGTCCTTTGTATTCCGTGACAGCTAAAACATGAATTATTTAAATAACATGATTAAATTTGGTAAACCAAAAACTCTTTCAATCGACAGAAACTATGGAAACAGTGTTGAAACGGTGTTGAAACACAGCTGACAGAGGCGCTCGAAAGGCACCAGAAAATGTGAACACTTGTATATATATTGAACAAAATATTGTTAATATTTCAGCTAAAAGGTAGATCAGTGTGTTAACAGCAGATCTGTTGGGTGAAGTAGAAAAACAGATAACAATTAAGTCAACTAAACAAAAACGAAACACTCACCTTTTAATTTAACATACGCTTTGAAAAAGTCAAAAGTTGAAAAGAACGTGAAGCGTGCTCCAGCCCAATTTTCGGTTCCAAAAGACCCGTTCGCAGGCAAACACTGCGCGCAAAGCAGGCTGGTCATTTCCCATTGTTTAACTGCCCCCACTCAAGTAAACCACAAAGACTCACAGATGTTGCTTCGCAACATCCGTGAGTCAAAAAATGGGACAAATTCTGTCAATTTTGTCTAAAATGAAGTCAATTTTTTGACAAATTTAGTGATTTTTCGAAAATTTGTGTTATGTTCCGAAAAAAATTGGTTGTGCGGAAAATTTTTTTGACCCCTAAAATGGTACACTGACCGAAATTTTTTTGGCGACGGGGGGGGTGGGTCGCCAAAATAATTTTTCCGGAAAAAATATTTTGGTACTAGTCGGGCAGAATCCCGAAAAGTCAGGCAATTTTCTTTCCGCCCCCCTAATTTTTTCCTTCCGGTACGCGCATGTGTACTGGATCAAAGGACATGGCGCCTACAAGCAATTTGTTTCAAACAGAGTCAAGAAGATTAACGCCAAGGAATATATTAATTGTAGACATGTGAGAACGGATGAGAACCCAGCCGACCTGGGAAGCCGAGGATGTACGACAGCGACGTTACCAGAATATTGGTTAACGGGACCAGATTGGCTGTCAAAACCCGATGAATGGCCAGCTGACATACATAACAAGCCTAGCAAAGAGTCTGAAACTGAAGCGAAGCCTAGGAAGGAACTGTTGGTAACCGCTGTGTGTGCGATGGATGATCTGGACGAGCTATTAGAGAACCGTAGCTTTTGGAAGGCAGTGCGTGTCTTCGCGTGGATCGTCAGATTTATCTGCAATTGCAAGTCTTCTAAGGCTGAACGGAAATATGGGCCTTTAACGACAGCTGAAACGGAAGCACGAGTTCAGTTCTGGGTGAAAAGAGCGACCGAAGCACACAGTGAAACGGAACAGTTCAAAGAAGATAAGTTGAAGCTGAACCTACAGCGAAATCCTGATGACCTTTACGAATGTCGTGGAAGAATTCAAGGTAACTTCCCGATATATCTAGCTCCAAATGCGCTCATTACTACAAAAATTATTCACAACGCCCATGTTCAAAGCCTTCACGGGGGAGTGGGATCAACAATGGCCTACACGAGACAAAAAATACTGGGTACCTCGGCTGAGACAGCAAAGCAAGAAAGTCATAAGGAACTGTTATGGCTGCAAGAAGTTCCATACTTCCACATTTCATCACCCTCCTGTCGGACCCTTACCCACAGATCGAACAGTCGGATCAGTGCCATTCGAAGTCCTGGGCATAGACTACGCTGGTCCTATAACCTATAGATCTAGCAAGAAAAGAATTGGCAAGGCGTACATTCTCTTTTTCACCTGCAGCCTAACCCGTGCCATTTACCTGGAACTCCTTCCGGATCAGACGGCGGAGAATTGTATCAGAAGCCTGAAGTGGTTCGTAGCGAGAAGAGGCAGACCAAAGAAAACCTATTCGGATAATCGAAAGACCTTCAGAGCAGCAGCAAATTGGATAAGAAAGGTAATGAAAACTTCCTCGCCCGTCAAAATATCATTTGGCAGTTCAACCTGAGCAGGGCTCCATGGCCAATTTGAAAGGATGGTGGGCCTGGTAAAAAGAGCACTATATAAGAGCATCGCACGTGCTAATTTGCGATGGGAGAGCTTGAAGAGGTGATCCTGGATGTAGAAATAGCGGTTAACAATCGGCCTTTGGGCTATGTCAAGGACGATGTTCAATTTTCTATCCTGACGCCAAACTCAATGCTGTTTATACAACCTAACCTACTTCCCGAAGAGGAAACTAGTGATGTCGAAGGCGTAGAGCTGAGGAAATGAGCAAGGCATTTATCGAAGTGCAAGGACGCGGTATGGTCTCGATGGACAAAAGAGTACATAAACGGACTGAGAAAACGGCACAATGTGAACAACAACAGGAAAGAAGTAAGCGTTAAAGTAGGAGACGTAGTTTTGATCCAAAACGACGAACGGAATCGTGGAAAGTGAAATGTCGGTATCGTAGTTAAGCTTATAAAAGTAAAGGAGTAGTAAGAGCTGCAAAACTCAGAGCAGGGAAGTCCTATTTGGAACGCGCCATTCAGCCGTTAGCCCCGATGGAACTAACCTGAAGTTCAGGTCCTATATTCACAGAATAGGGCCTGACACAAAACCTATCTAAACTGTGGGATTTTCGTTCACCTGGTGGACGGGAAATCTGATTGGTTGATCAGCATCATGAAGGATTTTGATTGGTTGCAAGTTCACATAAACAACAGTTTTAAAATTAGCTCCTCAAGGCGACAATTAATATATAAAAGGTCAAACGCACGTAACAAATTCCATTATCGATTTTTCGAATTTCTTTCTTTTATGCTTTATGGCAGAAAATAAATCAAACAAACAGTATTTTGAAAGGGCTTTATCAAAATCTTTGACGAATTTTGGACACACAACGCTGAAAGAACAGCCAAACTAGTCATGGATTCGAAAGCTTGTTGTTGACAGCCAAGATGTTCTGCCAACTGGCTTCGCCGGCAAAAGTCTTATTTTTAATATCTGGTCCTACCGGCGTTGTTTTCTGAGCTACATCGCCTTCTTCGTGGTACGATTGAGAATTTAATTGTTGCTGTTGTTAGCCCGTTAGTCGTTTATAGAGTATATCCGCGTCCAGCAAGTTGAGACCTTGAGAAAGCTTGGCAGTCAAGCCGTGCACAGAACTGACTAACTAATATAAATCTTTGTTTGCTGTTCGGTTAAATAGAGAAACTGACTCTTAATTATATAAAAGTACCTTGAATTTTTAAGTTTAATGAAAAAGCAAAATGCATACTCTGGGGACATGTTCATGAGAATATAAATTTTTGTGTAACGAAATCTACAACACTTGTCAATCATATTGCATGTGTGTCTAAAAATAACATGTGGGCGTCCCACGGTCTAGACAGGTTTTGTGTCAGGCCCTATTTCAAATTAGGGCCTGTACTTCAGGTTACGATGGAACTGACCTGTGATAATCCGCCCGTAGGGTCAGAAGAGAAACAAGCAACCTTGAATGTGAAAGCGAGAGAGTTTCGACCGAAAAGACGAGCAGCTGCAGCCGCGGAGGGACAAATCAAAAGCATCGCTGAAGATGAACTTGAACACTAATTGAACAGAACATACATTTGATTCCTTCGGAGGGGGGGGGGGGTAGATAATTTTATCTACACTCCCCCCCCCCCACCAAATAAAATGGGGGGGGAGTGTAGATAATTTTAAACATTATTGACATTACAGATAGTTATTAAGACTTACATAAAGTATTGCGAACAAAAGAGCCCGGATGCACTAGGATCTGGGGCTCAGAACGTGATGAAAAACAAAACAGGGAGAGATTTTATAAATCGAATGTGAGAGTTTTATGAATTTAAGGTTAAAATAAACAGTTTTGTCGAGTAGAAATATACGTTTCCGACAGCTTTGAAAATCACTAATTGTGAAAGGCTACCGTGTTTAAATATTCTTAAATAATAATAATAATAATAATAATAATAAAACAGACAGTTTAACATTATTATGGGTATCACAAGAAAAGCTGCTGGTCGAAAATTCAGGTGGCAGAGTATTAATTGAATGTGCATGCCTTAACACCTCATTATTTCTTTAGTAACGCACTGTACTCAGCTTTCTGTTGCAGCGTCACTACTCCCGTCCAGTTTACAAGAGATCTAGAGGTTTTTATTTGACCTGTATTCATGCGCATCCGAGGTATGTGCATTCGTGCAATGTTTGATTTTGTGCGATCATGGGAAGTTCTTTAACCGTTTGAAACCTGAATATGCCTTACTATATTTGCTGTTTCCAAAAATCTAGGCACAACTAGAAGAACAGTTCACATTTAGTTTAAGCCTTCGATTATCCTGCGTAAAAAGCTTGAGCGTTTTCTCTCAACTCGCCTGTAAAACATGCTGTGATAAAACATTTCTCCAGTACAGGTAGTAAACACCAGACAGCAATGCCAATGATTATGAAGTGGCAGAGATATAGTTTAAGGTGGCTCCGTGGGGTTTTTGAATTTACTACACTATAGTATTGAGGAGACTCCTGTTTCTTCACTTTACATGACATTTACATGACATGAAGACGAAATTTATTGGACACATTGACAATGCTCTCCTGAACATTGCAATTTGCTTCTTTTGTGTTGAAAGTCTGTTACCATGGCAACAGCATGCTTAGAATAAAAAATATGCGGTAAATATGTTTGGCATGGATTTAAACCCAATTCGTGGTGTGTAATTATACGCTGGTTATGAAGATGCGGACGCCATGTTGAAGGAAAACACTCTCCAAATACAATAGCAGTATGCTAATGACATTTGCAAACCAGGGATACACAAAACAAGGCTTAGGTTTTAATTGAACGTTAAATGATATGTCTTCACCAGTCTATTCGACTGTACATATAGTTCAATCTTATGCTGGACGATTCTCGAAGTTTGCAAAAAAGCATATAAGCCCTTGCTGCGTGTCACTTGTTTTAACGGTTTTATATTGGCCTATCCACATATATAATTTTAATATGCGACTATCAGAGTCAATCCAGTGGCGGACACTTTACGAAGGCACGGAAAAATGTTAAAATTCGAATCCCGGAATTGGCATTTGCAGCATTCTGAGAACACATTTTGTAAAAAACTAGGTTTCCAAAATTAAAACACTGTTTTAATGGTGCGTTTTGTTACAAATAACATGCTAAGCATAGAAAACCAACATTTCAGAGAAAATATTTACATGATTATTTACATTTGTGAATGGAATTGCAAAGTTGTTTAATTTAATTAACACGCCAATGACAATATAAAAAGTTATTCGCTAACGGTGAGTGAAATTTATTCGCTGCGCACGCTTTTGTTTTTGTTAACATAAAATTGGAATGTTAATTGAATTATCCATTGTTTTTTAGCGTAATAGTTTAACACGCATTCAAATATTATTATGGAGCAGGAAATTTCGCCCCTAAACAATAGTATAACCTTCAAACAACAAAGAATCGACAATGACATTTAAAGAAGTGCCTGTTGCAAAAAGTTGACCCCATAGTATCCGTCAAAAAGAGTGTGTAAAATGCGTATATTGTGACATGTACACTACAGAAACATGTATTATTTTATTACTAGAAATACATTGTTTCAACATGAAGTATTAGTAATTATGCCAACACTGAACGCAGGCTCGCGTTACATGTCATGTTTGTCATGGCAACACGATAAATATTTTAAACTTTTTACAAACCTGCAAAAAATAGATGAAACTAGCTTGAACACTTTTAAATACAGAACTATCAATTTATAAAACATATAAAGGCCCTGTCACACTATTGCGTATGTGAGAAACGTATGAGAAGCGTATGAAAATTAATGAAATAATTTTCATACGCACAAAAATCCTTTGGAATGCCAGTGTACGAGTACCGTACATCTGGCGTACTTCTAGCGTATTCAACGTGTGCCTAGAGTGTGCCTATCGTATAAAGCATACGTCCGATACGCACAAAATTTTTGAGCATGCTTAAAAAAAATTTCTGCCTCGCCGTGTGCCAGCGTATGCCACCGTACGCGACCGTGCTTGATACGTATGCAACCTATGCCTAACGTACCCCTAGCGTATGTCAGCGTATACCGGCGTATGAGTGATATTTTTCATACGCTGGCATACGCTAGTACGATACGCAATAGTGTGACAGGGCCTTACGGTCGGTATATTATTTAGCTTCCTAAGGGCTTTATTTTAATGTAAAATTCAAAACGAAACTCGAAAAAATGAAAGCAAAAAAAAAAACGAAGCACAAAAAAAAAGCACTGTAAAACCTTTGTAATTGTGAATTGAAATTAACTGCTTTTTGGCGATATTAATCTAATAAACTCTTTAACTTGAGCTTCAACTTATTACTCGCTCTTTGAACTGAAATAAAATTAATTCGTTCAGGACGCTTATGAATATAATTTGCTTTCCTTTTTATCATGAACTTCTATATTTATTTAATAATACAAAGTCACACAAACAATTGAAACAAACTTGCCGGTTCGGCTCCCCCCCCCCCCCTAGTGTCCGCCACTGAGTCAATCGAGATTCCTAAATATACATTAACTTATTTGGAAGCAGCTCAGCTGTTGAACGCAAAACTCGATAGCAAAGGTGAAGGACCTCAAAACACTCACCGTCGCGTTGATTCGAGACTGAGTTGCTGACCAAAATTAGAATGTAAATCAATATGACAATCTCGTATTAAATGCCTGGATTTTGCTAGTTTGTGACTGGTTCCTCCAAATGCTGTATATCCTGTTCCTAAACAGAAGAATTTA